CGTCCCCGCTCACGTGAAAGCACTTAATTAAGATTAAATGAAAATATCACTCTCTCTCCTGGACTATCAGGACATGTGGCCTGGCCTTTTATATAAAGAACCCATCAAAGTCCATAAATCAGGAGGAGGAGCAGGGTGGAGAGATAAGCACCATCAATCAGTCTCCTGCGTGCCCCAAGGTGACCTTCTGCTACATGTTTCATCTTGAACTACTGCTGCAAAAACAGCTTCTGTCATTAGGCCTCCTGTTGAGATGCACGGAGAATATCCCCTTCGGATAAATTATACGCAGGTATGGCGATGAATAAGCTGCATGGATCAACTGAAATCTGTGCTATAGGCACAAACAACCTCAGAAAATTCTAACTCTGAAACTCAATAAACGGTGCTCTAAGTTCAGATAAATTTGCGTGTTGGAAAACTTAAGAGCAAAATTAGTATTCCTGTGTTAGAGTCTCATCGGAGTCTAGGGGATCATTTCAATTCCTTTTTTGTTTTTTGGGTACCGGGATTGAGCTCAGGGGCACTCAACCACTGAGCCCCACCCCCAGCCCTATTTCATATTTTTTTTTATTTAGAGACAGGGTCTCGCTAAGTTGCTTAGTGCCTCACCATTGCTGAAGCTGGTTTTGAACTTGTGATCCTCCTGACTCTGGACCCACTGGGATTACAGGTGTGTACCAAGGCACCTGGCTATCATTTCAATTCATTTTAAAGCAGATGTCATGGGAGACTGAATAGTGAGGGTTGGAAAGCTGACAAAAAGAAAGCTTATTCAAAAAAATTAAGGATGGAGCTAGGGATATAGCTCAGTTGGTAGAGTGCTTGCCTTGTATGCACAAGGCCCTGGGTTCAATTCCCAGCACCATCAAAAAATAAAAATAAATTAATTAAGTAAGGATTAAGTAAGCATGTGTGCATAGCATGTAGCAATGTGGAATAAGTAGCAAGTGCACCTGTGTGTTCTAGCATATGGTTCTCTAAACCCTTGCTGGAAGATTCATGGATTATTTTTTTCAAACACCACCCTGAAAATTGATGGTGAGAGAAGGTATTATGTAGGATTAAATAATGATTTGTTAAAAAAAAAAAAGATTTGATCAATCATCAAAAAACAAAGAGAACACAAGAAATAAATATAATTCAATAAAACAAAGGAAAGGCAGCATGATGATGAGTCAGTAGAGCGTTCTATGGCTTTCTATCCATTTCCATAAGAGCCACAGATTCAATTATTAATACGCCATTGCCATAATTAAGGCCCCTTTATGGTAGCATAACGTCTGTGCCCAAAAGTTAATATCCTGGATATTGTTTCGTACCCTTTATTTTCTGAGCTTTACTCAGGTTTCTCAGGAACAAGAAATTTACTTAGAGCGAAACGCTAAAAGTGTTTTAATGGAATCAGTGCACCTTCCCGAAAGAATCTGGTTAATCAGATTTCAGGAATTTTCCCTAAGGACATGACAGTGTCTCTCAAAGGGTTTTTAATCTTCTAATAGACCTGTAGATTAACTGGAGTTAGACAGCCTGTGCAGAGAAGCCCTGCTCAGAGCAAATTCCATAAGGTGATACCAATCCAGTGAGTGAGACAGAGAGGGCAGGTCTGCTCCAAGTGGTTTTCTGTTAGACGGATTCCTGGAATAAGCCCCATTCACACGGGAGGTCTCTGGGCTTACCAGGAACTAGGCACGCTCACAATGGCTCACCAAGGCCAGAGGCTCTGCCTCTTGCTACATTATCTTATATTTATTAAAGTTCCATTTACCACCCACCTATAGGAAAGTTCTGTGTGCATCAAATAATAATTCTCCGGTAGTATATATTCTGTTGTTCACAAGACGCACAGTTAAGAACATAAGAAGAAAATCACTCGTTAAAATATGACTAAGGGAAAGAAAAACTTTTTTCTTTGAAAAAAAAAAACGTTGTCTTTGAAAACTAATAATGATGCTAATTATTGACATTTACCAAATTGAGTACGGTGCCAGAGACCAAACAGTGCTAATAACTGTTATCAAACCCATCGAGTTTAAGCTGTGCCTGCAGGCAGTTACAACAATTATTCCAACTTTGCAAATTATGAAATGGAGGGTAAAAAAGGTAAACAGCTTCCCCAAAGCCACAGCGCAGTGTGTTTGTGCCAAATACTTTGAAATCAGTTATAATTCGACTCAGTATTGCGACAAAGAGTTTGAGAAAACTCTCTAAAAGAGAGGATCCAGATCGGACTGCAGATGAATCCCAATTCCAGGGACAGTTCCTGAAGCTGAAATTCCTTCAGATCATGAAGGGGTGAGCTCTGTTTGACCTCCCCCCTGCAAAAAAAAATACAAGATTCCTCAACAAAACCTCAAGCCTCCTAGGGAGACAAGCTTCTGAGAACTTAGTGGTCAAATTCATTTTTCTATTCAATGTGACATTTAGATAAATATCCTCGAGAGGGCACTTTCACATATGCCAAGAGGTGAGAAAAATAACGTGAAGGTCAGGGGTTTGCTCTTTCCAAAACAAGTCAGCATGTTAAGGGAAACTCAGAAAATAAACGACACACACCCCAATGCATCGTATGCCTGGGCCGTATCTTCTCTAAAACTAGTAGACACAACATTTCTACACTCTCTTATTCCATGTTTCTCCCTCTGGCTCCGTTCTTGTGCTGTGGATTGCATTAATTAAATACGATCAAAATGCACGAGGCAACTGATTAAGGAAAATATTCTTACCAGTAAATTAAGTTCCACTTCGTTCCACTGTGACCTGTTAGCTGCTAAGACAGGATCATTGTTCGCAGTTTATAGCACCTAGGGATAGATTGGAAAGTTATAATTTTAGAAATAATTTCCATCTAAGGAGCCACTTTTAAAGCAATTTTTACCTGGTCTCTGTCAAACACACACACACACACACACACACACACACACACACACACATACACAAACATTTAACTTGCCTTTCTCCAATTTCTACTTTCATACCCAAACAATAGCCTTGTTCTGTTGCTTTAAAAAAACAAACAACAACAACAACAAATCCTGTAAATTTCTATCTTGGAATAACAGAAGTCATTCGAAGGGCAGACCTGCAGGAAACAGCCACATAATGGCACTTATCATTGAAAGAATTGTTGATGTGCCTTCTCTTGCAGATTCAAATTTTTTTTTTTTTTTTTAATGTTTCACAAAAATATCGATGATTTTGGACTGGTGACATAATCTAAGGTTACAGATTTTGAAGAGGACTAATTTTTTTTTTTTTTTTTTGCACCAGACCCCCATTTGTAGATCTCCTTGGCAGGTCTCCAGGAATTATTCTGAACAATAGCCACCTCCTTTTGTTGGCCACTGTGACCAACGAGTCCAAAGGAAACAATACAGATGAAAAAAGGGAAGGGTTCTATCAGAAGGCCCTCCGACGTCTGACTCTTGTCAATTATGGACTGAAGCACAGCCTTCAAATCAACAGGCCATCTCCAGGCAAGTGTGCTCACGTCCAGCCGACGGTCTTAGAACAAATCAACACGTGAAATGAAGGAAACCTTGAACCCAGTCCTCTTGCCGTGGATTCCCAGATGATTTGAGGATGAGCTGTCAGTCACTAAGGGTGTTTATAACCTTGTTTCCTGATGCTGTCCCATGAACACAGCTTTGACCAGCTAAGGGCTCCTGTTACCCATCCAGAATCCAAATAAGTCAGCGTCGTGCTTTTGGGTTTGTTTTTTTTTTTTAACCAGTGGTCATCACTGAATGAATACCGCTCAGAAGGGCTAAATTTCATCTATTATTCCTAACTCAGTGGGGTACAAACTACTAATGAAGAGACATAGAAAACTGTAATATCTTCAGCCCTAAGAGAAAGAAGGAAGGCTACAAAAAATCCAAGCAAGCCACTTGCATCCCATGCAATATTTGACAATTTCTTTGGCCTTCTTCCAGGAACTGATGCCAAGAAGTTATGAACAGATTGCAGCGCCTTGGGAGAGAACCTCACACAGGAGCACTGGGAAGAAAAACGCAAGGCTGGCAAGTGTAAGAAAAGTCCCCATGCTTTCCAAAGGACCCAGTGACATTCTGCACAGACGGTGTTGTGTCCTTTCTACTTTGGTTCAGTAGCCTCATTTCAATTCCATCAGTCCTGCTTCTGACACCATTTTTATTACCTGCATGACTACGACAATTAAAATTGTTTATGGACCTCTAAAAATGCACAAAACAGTGGGTCCACCGGTGCCCTTTGTAGAGTGCAGCCATGTTTATTGACTTCTGCAGGCTGAAAGAACTGTGTATTCAAGCCAAGGACCATGGAACCTGGCCTCCACTCTGCTATATCCAGCTCCAATGTGTTACAACCGTCTCTCAGCGGGAAATACAGAAAATGCAATGTTCGCAGATGTGGATTCCAAGTGAGATCGCCTGATCCTCCTGTTCCATTTGCTGAGACTAAAGTTAAATGACCTAAAGTAGCATGTGATTTTTACGGACCCCGGTGATAAGGAATGTTATAAATTCAGTGTATTGTACATTTGGGATGCAACTTTGACTGTTCCAATATTACATCTCTGTGAGACATCCCTCCAAAACCCATTCAGGTCACACAGCTTCCACAGCAAGCATCCTAAGGGATCCCAACATTTTTATTCCTGTCAAGGACACACAGGAGCACAGAGATCCATGTTCGGGCTCCACCACCCACATTCTCAGGAGTTTGAAGACTGCTGTGTGGTGTTGGACATGGAGACTTATCTGTATGTTCAGGGAGCAGCCTGCGATGAAATCTCAACTTCCGTTGAGAAGACACTTGCATTAATGACTCTGTGTGTGTGTGTGTGTGTGCATGTGTGCACATGTGTGCACCTGCATGTGTACTTGGTAAGCATGAAGAATTATCTCTATTCATGTTATAGGTACATGAGCTTTCAAAAGAGACCTGCAGATAATCCTTTAGAATGCACAAGTAACATTTAAAAATATGCACATACACATATACTTGTTATCTTATCTACTTTTTTTTTAAGAATTCTGCCTCTAACCTGTTTTTTTTTTTTTTTGGTGGGGTTAGGAGGTTGTGGGGGCTGGGGGTACCAGGGATCAAACTCAGGGGCACTCAATCACTAAGCCACATCCCCAGCCTTATTTTGTATTTTATTTAGAGACAGGGTCTCACGGAGTTGCTTAACAACTCACTTTTGCTGAGGCTGGCTTTGAACTCATGATCCTCCTACCTCAGCCTCCTTAGCTGCTGGAATTACAGGTGTATGCCACCACACCCAGCTTCTATTCTGCATTCTTATAGAATATAGTAGCATACCCGTATATCTGTGCAATTTACATTTTATATATATGTAGGACTATAGCCTCTGAAAATTACAATTAAGGGAGCATGCACAGTATATTACTGTAGTCTAAGAAAATGTCTTTTTTATTCTGCTTTTATTACATTAGAAGGATATGGGATACTCTGAATTTATTTGCCCTAGAAATAGTGACCCTATCCCTCACCACCACTCATAAAGACTACAAATGTCTTATTTTCTGTTGTTAGAGAAAAGTATTTTTTTTTCTTCCAATGTCCCTAAGGTTTTTCTACTTAAGAGATACAAAGAAATATGCCTTCCAAATGTAAAGGGGAGACTGATAGGAATATGAAAATCCAAACCTGAAGAATTCAGAGGTATACTAAGACAAAGCTTACTAGGATGCTTCTTGGTTGTTTGCCATTTTTATGGGGGGGGAAAAAAAAGCATATGACTATGAGAATGTACAGTTCAGGTACAACTAGTTAAATTAAATTCTACTCGGTTCAGGAAAAATACACAGAAAGTACATTACGAGAAGATGTAGAATGTTCTCAAGAACAAGTAGTAGTTAGAAATAGATCCAATGGGTTACTCTACCAACATGTGCCCTAGGCAGGTATGAAAAGACAGTTCTGAATCAGCTGAACTCAGGTCCACACATCCTCAGAACAGGAACATCTTGCAGATATATAATTTTCTCTAGAATTTGAAAACGGCATCTTTCACTCACCACAGCCCTGTCATCAAACATATGACGTCATCAGGTGCCCAGACAGAGAAAGTGATGGCTTGTGTGGCCACCGGAAAGGCGGACTGTGTCAGAATTACTGAAAGACAATGGGTCACTTTTCAACACGACACCTTTCTAAAGCATTTTAAGGTATATTCTCCTTATTCGATGAATTTATATCATCGTATACACATCACAATTCCATTCTTGGCAAAATTAAAGACCCAACGGCTATCACACACGCTCCTATTAGTTTCACCCTCGTATTTCATAGGACGGATCCTGAATTCTGTATCTTGATAATGCCGGTGTGACTGGCTTGCTAAATATAGTTTGGATGAATTAGTAAATGAATGCATAAAAGCTACGCATACGATTCATAGTGAGTGGCACTTCCTAGCTCCCTAAGTTGACAGTCACAGGTGCGAATGTCATACTCTCAGGGAACAGGAGGCAGCACATTACCATCATAATATCTGTCAAAAGTGACACAGTAGCACAGAAGAAAAAGAGTCAGAAGGGCCAAGTATACAGCCAAGTGTGCACCTACTGTGCGACCTTAGGACGCTCCTGCAGTCTTTCAGAACGCCAGTGATCTCATACATAGATGGAGGAGTTTGTCTCTTCCTTGCAATGAGGGTTTGAGGAGTAGGACTTAACATGTCAAACATGCTTCTTCCTGGGCTGGGATCTAGAGGGTGCTTAGTAACAGCCGGGTGTGGGCAGCAGCAGCAACCTCACCATCAACCTGGGGCAGGCAATGAGGCCAGGAAGGACACTGAGTGACCTCCAGCTTCTCTTAGCTGATAGGTCCCCCCCACTCCAACTCAAGCCAGGACAGGCATGTCACATGGTGCCCTAGGAGATGATCTGTGAACCTGACCGCTGCTAAGCCCACCACAGCTGGGCAGCTGCAAGTCTTTATCCTCACAAGGTTGAAAAGGGTTTCTTTACAGTGTTTTATGCAAACTTAGGAGTTCTTCAAAGCCAGGGGGGGGAAAGTCTCATTAATTATTACTTCCTGAGTACCCAAGCACAGTGAATATCAAACTGTCAAATACTGGTTGCTCAATAGGTGTCCCCTGAATGAAAATGCCCATCTTAGGTAAGTGTATTTGTCATCAAGAGTATTTTTTTTCTCGATTTAAAAAATTTACTTAACCACATTTGATCTGTAAACACTGGAAACATTCCAGTGATGTTAAAAAAAATAGAAATAAACGCATTATGAAAAGTTAAGCACCTCATCTTTTTTGTCAATATTTGGGTCAATACCAAAATATAATGCAAAACATCTTCATTTTTTTTTAATTCTGCCATCAGCCAATCTCACCTTGATGCAATTCAAAGAGGCCTTTCCCCTCTACATGTAGGCTAAGATGTTCAGTAGAGATTTGTTGAATGATTGTCTTTGAAGAAGGGAAACAATACATGACGTGTGTAATAGTTCCTGGAATATAAACTCAGAGTATAACAAAAATGAACACGGGAACAGAAATGGTTGGATAAAACTAACATAAATGATGCACAGAAATGCAAACAGCATGTGCTAAGGAGTGTGTGTTTGTAGAAATGATTCACAGGCCAAACCTTAAAATGAGCAATATGACAATGTTGAATGTTGAATTTTTTCCTAAGAAGACTCCTGAAAAGGCATTCAAGAATAAAATAATCCCTATTTTTGACCACTAATTGAGTATTATTTTTTTTTACAAAAAAACACAAGTTTTGAGCCCTTATTAAGGATCATTTGTGATTTCTCTCTAATATCAATTGAA